AAACAGGACTGACCTAAGAGGTCTGTCGCGCAATTACTCATCTGGCCCAAGCTGGCAGCAATATTCGAGTGAACCTTCTCGTCATCAAGGCAAAGATCAATGAGGCCGGTTATGGCAGCCAACGAGGCACGTATATCATGGCTGGCACTGGCGAACGCGAGACTCTTGTTCATACTCTTGCGCTCCGCCTGCTGAGTCGAGTCCATCTGCTTCACCAATGCCGCACACAGAAACATCTCTCGCCTCGCATACCTCACCGCCGCGATCACATAACCCCCCACCGACACCACTATTATAACCAATACAAGCACTAAAAGCGTCATCACCAGCGGTCGATTCTCGTGAGCCAAACCCCTCGTCGGCAAGGCCAGCACGTAAACCGACGCAATCCCACCAATCTGAACACCCGAGCAATAAAACACGTGCCTCTTCCCCTTAATCCTCGTGTGAAAACGATCCTCGCAAGAATAGTAGTGCCCACTACTCTTATCCACCGACACCGTCCCGTTTTTCACGTCCACGCGTACCTCCCGAAGCTTGCTCCCGACAATCACCCGCCCATCAGCCGTCGCCAGCTGGAAATCCCCGCCGTTGAAATTAAGCCCCGAAAAATGTCCGGCGACCGCCGCTGCCGGAAAACCGACCGTCACGTATCCTCTCCCGTCCATCGCCGCGCCGTAAACGAACTGTAGGTTCCCCTTTTCGTCGAATTCCGTCGCTGCGGCGCCGCCAATAGTCGAGTTGGCGTGAACTTTCGGTGCACACGAGACGGGCTGTCCATACAGCCTGCCAGTGTCACGGTTGACAGGCTGGACGTAGCACGAAGAAGGCGCGGTGGAATTCGAGAATACGGCGAAGGTGTCGTCGTTGTCGGTGAAGTATGAGAAAGTGAGGGCGTCGTTGCCGGCGTAGGAGGCTCGGGAGGCGTGGGGGAGGACGGAGAGGGAGAGGAAGAGGGGAGGTGCCACGCGGGATCGGATCTCGTCGAAGGAGAGGTCCGTGGTGCCGTTGAGGGACGAGCCGAGAGTGCGTGCCAGGATGGACGCGGAGGAGTTGAGCGGCGCGAAGTGGCGGGCGGTGGCCTCGATGCCGGAGAAGGTCGCATTGAGGAGCTGTTCGGAGAGGGCGTGCGCCGCGCGCTCGGTTGACTTGCTCATGCAGATGAGTTTTACGATGATCGCGCTCGACACGGCCTGTGCAGGTGGAATTAAAAGGAATTGCGTACTAAAAGAACAATAATGTGTGTGCAATTAATTAGAGGAGGGGATTTATTTATTTGATTTGGTCTTACCAAGAGAATTAAGAAACAGAGTGGGCGCAGGAGAATTTTAGAGCAGCCGTTTGATCTCATGATGTGGACGTGAAAAGTGAACACAACTGATGATTAATTAGTAAGTTTTCATTATTTCTACCAAACCAAACTCTACTAGCAGTGGTTTGTAGGGTCTGAGTTGACGACGATGAGGCTGTTTGTTTCAGTCTTGGAGAGATACGAGGTAAAGAAAAAATCTAGGTTTGGTCAACCCAAAGTCTGGATGAGTAAAATAAGTGATGCAAGTGATGATATACTTTGGCAAGTAAGTTGGTTGAGAGGAATAAGGATGTAAAATTTCCTGAAGAAGTTGACATTTGATTAGGAATCTTTTAGGATTAGGAAATCCGTTGGGTGTTTTCACGGTATCATTCCCTCAATTTTATATCGAATAGAATTTTGCCACTTCATATATGGGGCTGTTGTACAATATAATTAGGCAGTTGTTTTGTCGCAAGGGATTAAACTAAAAATTAAAATATAAATATATGAAAATAGGCTAATAAAGTGTGGTGTGGCAGATTAAAAATCGTAAGGAATTTACCGAAAATTTAAAAGATAAATAAACAGAAATTTGCTAATAAAGTGTGGCAGATTAAAAATAATTAATTTAAAGTACGTATCTATCATCTATATTTATACTTATATAAAAAGTCATCTCATTTACTAGAATTAGTAGGAAGAAAAGTCAACTCATAATTAATTACACATCATATTTAGAAAATTTTAGATATTTTAAATCATAAAATAGGGTAGCATTAAATGTCCCTAAAATTATGGGTTTTGTTGAATTCGTTTTTTGAAAATTTCGACAGATATTGAAGTGAATATGAAATTCAAAATATCTTCTCATTTGATTTTTAATAAAATCTGCATTCAAATTTACGTGTGGTTTTGAAGTGAAAATTGAAATTCAAAATCTCTTCTCATTTTAGTTACAAGAAAATCGGGCTGCATTCAATACTTGAACCAATTTAAAAATTATTCCTTAAATGAAAGAATTTATAGGTAATTGTTATCTATACTCAATCACATGATTATATTCAATATAAAAAGAGACAGACTACAAATTAGTGAATCATATATTACCTAATTCAATATCTTAACATTAAGGAATAAATCTATAGTATTATGTAAATCAGTATCTCATATTATTATATCATTAAGAATATATTATAGTTATATTATCAAATCATAAAAAAATATTAAATCCATATTGTAAAAAAAAAAATTCATATAATTTTATAACAATTCTACTACACTATTTAACAGTATTCCTTTTTATTATATAATAAAATAATAATTAAATATTATATAGTGAACAACAATAAGTAAAACTGTTAATTTCTCTTATATCAAGGAATAAATTTATATGCTAAATATATTAATTATTTTACAAGCTAGCCCTAACATTCTCATATTTAATGTTCTGGCTAAAAAAACAACACTGGTTAAAAGATGTGGAAAAAAACTTATAATAACTCTATTGTTTTTTAGACTTAACGTTGAGTAAAAGAGGTAGAAAATAGATAATAACTCTATTCTTTTTTGGACTTAAACGGACAAGGGTGTGGAAATAACTCATTTAACATATCTGTCTCGTGCATCACACGGGGTACGTACTAGTATATATAATAAGAATTACCATTTACTAAAAATAGTAGTCAAAAATTTAGGAAACATTTAATGTATACCATTTTTGAAATTTTTTTAAATATATGCATTAATTGCTTACATATACACGTTTTCAAATAAGATATGAAAATTACTTAAATAAATTTATTAATATCTGTAATATTTTTATTGATGTTTATTATAGTACATTACAAGATTGATTTTCCGTGATTTATGTTGATAATAATTTGGTCAAGATAAATATTATTTTATTAATATTTGCAATACTTTCATTGATATTCATTATACTAATTACAAGATTGATTTCCATGATCCATGTTGATAATATTTTGGTCAAGATAAATATTACACCATACTTTAAGTTCTATCCATAATTTTAATTTTTTTTCACAAATATTCACTTTTTATCCAAAAATATTTATGAAAAATCATAACAGGTTAGGTAGAATTTTTTTTCCAAGTAATCAGACAAAATCAAGTTGGTGAATTAATCTTTGCCAATCTATTTTTTTTCTTAAGCTTTATTTTGTTAAATATAAAAAATAAATTATTCTTCAAATTAATATAATTTACTATTTAAAAGATAATGACCAGATACATTAAATAGTTTTACTAATGGTAAAAAATTAAATTGAAATATATAAACTATTTCTTAGAATTTATTTGTATATTATTGACACCCATGATTATTTTTTTCATTTTTTTATTTTGATTTATTTCTATAACCAAATTCTTGTAAAATATATTTGCATTGCAGAGTAATGCTAAATAAACTACAAACCCTTATAATGCGAATTAGAAAAATTTTGATCATAGAAGGGATTGAGATTTTGGCATTTTCTAAATCAAAGTTGTTTAATTAGTATACAAACCTAAATTCTATAAAAACATGGGTATATTTTGTAAAATATTTATACACTATTTAATTTTAAATTTATTTACATATTTTAAATTGATTACATAAATAAATAATATTAATATGCATTAAATATTTTTCATTACATAAAATAAAAAGAAAAAAAGACGTAGAACTTCTATAACTTTATAAATAATAATGACATTTTATGACAACAAAGTTTATAATAAAATAATAATTAAGTATTATATAGTGAACAAGAATAAGTAAAATTGTTATTCTCTCTTATATCAAGGAATAAGTATATATACTAAAATCAAATTTATATTAGTATAAATGTGTCAGTGAGATAATATATTAATTATTTTACAAGCTAGCCCTAACATGCTCACATTTAATGTTTTGACTAAAAAAGTGCAAAATAGATTGTAACCTTGTTGTTTATTACACTTAATTTAACGCTGATTAAAAGAGATGGAAAATAGATGATAACCCCATTGCTTTATATACTTAAACGGACAAAGCCTGTGAAAATAAATCATTTAATATTCATGTCACGTGCATCGCACGGGGTACATACTAGTTATATAAAAAGAATAACCTTTTTATAAATTTAGAAACTTTTTCCCGTTAAAATCATTAAATATATTCTAAATATAGTAATTGTTGGACAATTGTGAATAGGCGCAAAAATCGGCTCTTTAATTGCATTGTTTCCTTAATTCTAGCTTGCAACAATAAATCCAATTGGCTTTTGGTTTAAACTTTCCCAAAAAATTCTCATAGCATAAATCTACATGAGTTCGAGTTTAAAAAATTTCATCTCTTATCTATAAAGATTTTAAAAAATAAAATAAAATAAAAACCAATTCATAATTACTACTAGAAATCCATTATCTGCTAATTTTCATCGGTCTAATTACTAATATTTTTACAAATATTATAAGCTAGCAATATATCCTCGATAACAACGTAAAAAATATAATAACAATGGTGTGTAATCAAATTTTTTTAGGTGGAAGTAACGCCATAAATTCGGTATTATCTGACATAATGTCTTTATTAAATTATACTCATAATATTTTACATATTCGTCTATAAATATATATATATATATACACATACATAATTGATGTTAAATTTAAATATTTGTAGACATGTTTCCTTACAAAATAGTCTAGAAATTTTCTTTTTTACGTAATGTAAAATTCAAATGTTTTTAGATATGTTCCTTCTAAAATTATTTAGAAAAGTTGTAGGTGACTTCACATCTTTCAAAAATAATATTGAAAATTTTGATTACTCTTACAAATACTAATATAATATTTTAGGTGTTTTTAATATTAAACATACAAATTTTATATTCTCTTATACAAAATAATGTAAATTTTATATTCTCTTATACAAAATAATTTTACATTGTTTGACCCCGAATCTTTAATTTATAATTATTAAGTATTGTTTATCTTCCTCTTTAATTTATAATTATTTTTTTCTTCCTCTTTTTAAATAAGATCAATAGTAGTTTTCACTTCCGCCATTGAGTGACTCAAACTCGAGATCTATTTATAATATTGTTCTCGTGCATCGCACGGGGCACACACTAGTCTTCATTAATAATTATGTTTTTTTAATTAAAATAGTTAATTATTTTTTTTGATATAATCAATTTTAAAATTTCGTACGCAATTGCTATAATATAGTTTTAATATTGTACAAAGATTGCAAAAATTATATTATTGCAATCAATATAAAGATTAATAGTAAGTTAATAGTTTATATTTATATCGTGCATTTTTACTAATGATAAAATTTATAAAATGTGATATACTCATTATCTAACTTATAATTTTAAATATTACATACACATACATATAACATGTAAATTTTATTTGCATATGTGCATGTGGACATGATTGAATACTAGTAATGTAAATGAGGAACNTTGACAGATCATTTAATAAAACATCATAATTTTCCTGCAAAAAACCGTTACAATTGAATTTATCATCTATATCGTTCTCTCTCTGTATATATATTTACTACAAAAAAAAAATTAATAAAACTATTTGTTGTTTACCTTCTTTTTTATGTTATAATCCAATATTATTATTATTACTATTGAGCGCGCGTCGCAACGCGATAAATTAAAATTTATATTTTTCCTCGGGTAACCTCTACTAACTAGTAGTAGCGGCAAGTAAGAGTTGATCCCACGAAAAGTGTGAATCAAATTTTGATATTTTTCATAGTAATTGAAATTAAGAAAGTAATAATAGGGGGAATTAGATTAAAAACTAAGATCCTAATTAGTACAATACCCGTGTATTACAAGGGTGCTTGTTAAAAAAATA